CCACAATGAGCCTCAACTGTTCCTAAGGTTTTTTTCTTCACAGACCCTGTGGAGTCATAATTGCTGCTGATTGTGTTTTCTTCCATTGTTCTGGCAAGTTGTGCTCCTCCCCACAGTTATTTGGAATCTACTGCTGTATCCAACTTCGGTGCTAACAGCATTTAATAGCTGTCATTAGAAAGCAAGCTTCTGTTTACCATTGACCCTGCTGTGAATGGAAATGGGGGATTTCTGTTTTGGGAGTAGCCCCAATCTCTTAATTGCTTTGAAAATTATTGCTCATTTATTTTGTTCTTAAGATATTACCTGTTTATTGAATAGTAAGTTTGTGTTCTCATTATATTTGAATTCACCATAGCTGCAAGTCTGTGCAAAAAGGTTTGGTCTTGCTTATTCTCATATTTTACCATTGCATTTTAGGGGAGAGAGCAAGTGTGCACACACACACAAGCTCTGGTGACCTCATAGCTAATGAGTTCTGCTATCAACCCCCAAACACACAGTTCCAATACACCGACTGTTCACAGGAGAAAGATGGTCAGTCTCCTGTGGAATTTACAGCTGCTGAAAGCCCCCTGGAGGGTCAGCTATGAGCTGATTTTGACTCAACATCATATAACAATAACAGAATGTGTGTGTGTGTGTGTGTGTGTGTGTGTGTGTGTGTGTGTGTGTGTTACTTCACAAGTAACTCTGTGTTACAGTGGTTCAAGCATTCAGTACTGCTATGTAAAAGCTAACAGTTGTTTCAAATCCATTGGTTGCACAGAAGGAGAAGTAAGAGGCAGTGTGCTTCTGTAAAGATGATAGCCTCAGAAAGGTTGTAAGGAGATTTTGTCCTAATTACCTAATGGCTGGTGGTTCAGATTCACCAACTACTCTGTAGAAGAGAGATGGGTAACCTCCTCCCCGTGATTTATAGCCTCTGAAAACCCACTGGAGGGACAGCTAGAAGTTGGTTCTAACTCCACAGAATACAGCAGGAGTCACAGTAAGTCAAAATCAGCAAGAGGGTAATAGGTGAGTTTAAGCACTTCCATAATTATTGTGCTTAAATATTCATGTGTTTTCTCATTTGTCGCTGTTTTTAAGTGCCGTAGAGTCATAGATGACCCATAGCAACCCTATGAACGAAAGTCTTGAATTCAAAACTTTCATCTTTTCTCCAAGTTCATAGAATTTCCAGAGGCAAGCTCAGACTCCTTATGGACTATTTACTGTTATTATTCCCATTTTATAGTTGAGAAAACCATGTTGAAGACAGGTTATAGTGTGTGGCAAATGGTATGCAAGAATGAATCCTTCAGCCATTGAGAGTGGGCTTGAGTCTCACGCCTGCTGTATACAAACCGTGTGACCTTGACGCATGTCTGGCCCATTAGCTGAGTAGTTTCATCAGTGGCAAAGAGCTGACCATTCTGTACTTTCCGAAGAGGGTTCTGGAAAGGATTACACTGAAAAATGAAGCTTTGACTAATGCTACTTTTTGAACAACTAAGTGCTATACAAATGTAAGGTCTTCTTTTTCTCCTATGTCTTGTGCAGTTAATTTGGCATATTGAAATAATGGGATTTAAAAATGACAGGCTGCACATGCATATATGCTTTGCAATTAGTGTAGCATAATTTAATTGTGAATCCATTGTTGGTAGAATTTTGATTCCTCCTCCTTGATGAATAGCCAATTTCTGTGGGTGTTATCAATTAATCTGTGTAATGAATTCTCTTCATTACCTCATTCTTCATGTTAATTATACAGGATTTTCTTATACCTATTTATCAAGTCAAGACAAGAATGATTTTTTTTTTGTCCACACGCCTCTGAATATGGAATATGAACAAACAGGTTAACATGATGGGTTTAAATTTACATTGCTGAAAAATTCTAATCACTGGCTTGACTTTTCATACATCCTTACTTGTTATATCACTTCTCATCTTTCTTTTGTCTTTTTTATTGGGGAAAAAAAAGGTGCAGCTAAGATAATTAAACTATGATTTTTGAGAATATACCAGTAGCATATCAAAGAGGTATTAAAAATGCATGGGAAAGTTTGAATCTTTTCCTATCAATATTACACAACAAATAATTAATAAGTTTTAAGTTTTGAAATATTGCGTGAGCCACTGAGACAGATAAAAATTTAAATATAAACCATAAGAAGGGAAAAAAATAAATACATGAAATTTTAAATGACACGACTTATAAAATTAATAGTTATAGACTATAATACAGAAAATCTGGAAGACAGTATATAGCAATTATATAAAGGACTAGTGAATGAATGAATTTTAGATTTAGGGTAATGATTGAGGTGTAACATGAGTTCATATGGTGGTGGTGGTGTTGTTGTTATTGTTATGTCGAGTCACCTGTGACTCATAGCAACCCTGTGTACAACAGCCCTAAACCCTGCCCTATTCTGTGCCAATCTGTCTCTGACACCCTTACCCCTATTACCCCATTCACTGAATCAATCCATCCCATTGAGGGTCTTCCTCTCCTGCACTGTCCCTCCACCCTCCTAAGCATGATGCCCCTCTCCAAGGACATGTCAGTCAAAGCTTCAGAATCCTTGCTCACCTGACTTCACCCTGGCCAGAACAAACCTGTTTGTTTTCTTAGCAGTCCATGATATAGTCAATACTCTTCTCCAACACCACAGCTCAAAGTAATCAATTCTCCTTCTATCATCCCTAGTCATTGTCCAGCTCTCTGATACATAGCAAGTGATTGCAAAGACATGTATCAGGTGCACCTTACTGTCCAGACTGAACATCGTTGCTTTAGAAAGGTCTCTAACCACAGACTTTCCCATCACAATAAGTCTTTTTTTTTTTTTATGCTTTATACTCTGGTTTATTTCTTTTTTTTGGTTGTTTTTTTATTAATTTGGTTTGTTTATTTTTTATTTAAATAAACATCTACAGAGATTTTGGAATTCCGTTCATTCATTGTTGCACCCTTCTCCCTGCACAAACCCCTCCCCCCTCCTACCCCCGCACCTCCCTACCCCCATTTGCTCCTCTCCTTGAAAAGCAAAACAAAAACTCCCTAATTGGTACACAATCTCCCCGCACCTCCCCAAACCCCACCCCCTACCCCCAAAT